CGTGCCAAGAATTGACCTGGAGGTCCAGGGCCACCATCCAGGAACCTGGCCCCAACAGAAGCCGGACAGGAGATAACAGTCCTCCGATGAGGGCATGGAATCCAGGGCGCAGACTGAAGAAGTCCAGAAGAACCGCAGATTCACCAGGCCCGTGTCTGCATAGAGCAGACAGGAACCCCAGAAGGATGGGGCGGATCGACCACGTCCAAAGCACCCACTAAGATGACATGACGAAGCGCAGGGGAAGAAGCCCACCCCGCCAGCCCTGAACCCCCCCAAATCGGGAGAAGCCGTTCGCCGCCGCCACCAGAGGCCGGAAGACAACCAAAAGCGTCCACTAACTGCGGGACCATGTAAGAATCAACAGAGCAAGCTGCTTCCCCAGCGCCCCGTCAACAGCGAAGGGAACAGAGCCCCTTCTGAAAGAAAAAGTATACATACACATATATACACCTATATACATATATATTATGTATATACACACATATAAATACACGCACACACAAGGTGTATTACACACACGTGCGTATGCACATATACATGTGCACACACACACACAGTGTACACATGTACATGTACATGTGTACACACACAGATACACACGAAAAGAAAATTACAAGCCGCCGACCAGTAGGCAGAGAGCACCACGCCGGCCAGGCAAAGAAGGCACAAAACTGCATCAAAAGGCCCACCTGGACAACAAAACCCTAAAGTCCCAGCATGACCACAACACGTGCCAAGACCCAAAAAGATCAATCTGCAAGCCAGGAAGACCCTGGAACCCCAGAAGGCAGAACCGGGTCACACACGAGGAAACAAAGCCCCCTGAACCCACAAAGGGGGCCGAAGAGGAAGAAACCTCCGGAACGAAACCAAAGAACCCAAAGAAACCCGGAATCAAACCAGGGGAAGCCCAAACCACCATATTTGCTGGCGGAGATACACCACAGAAAGGAAAAGCACAGCCCCCAGACAGAACCCCTAGGGAAATGGTCAAAACAGACCGAAAACTGAGGGACAAGGTGTGGGAGCAAGCATAACCGACAGGGACACTGAGCCCAAACCCTAGGGCCCAGACCCAAAATAGACAAAACGGAATACCCGGTGTAAAATAAACACTCAAACGTTCCCAGAGGAACAGAAAACGGGTAGAAAACACCAGAAAAGCAAAGAAACGACAACAGGAGAATAAAACCCCTGAAAGGTGAAAAAACTCACCCAAGACGCTTGCTCGCACACCCAGGCGCATGTAAACAAACCGCAACGCCGCCCTGGTGGCCACGCCGGGAAACCGGCAGAAGAAAATGGCCACCAGAACAGAGGGCTGTGACCGACGCAAAAGATACGAAAACACACCAGCAAAAGTGGGAAGCAAACAGACTGGATGGGCGAAAAATTCCGCCCAGAAGCACAAAACCCAGGCACGGGCAAACCGCCCCAGAACTGCTAGCAGGCATCCCCCCAGGGAACCCGCAACAGAGGCCCCGGGACAGAGCCGTCCTCCAAGCCCTCCGCCCTTAAAGAAAAGGAAGAGTCCATGGGAAAGGCAGCAAGAAAGGGCCGCTGGTAAGACCCAGAAGCCTTGGCAGGAGGAACAGGCTCGAAAACCTCCATCCCCAACCCGAACTGGGCAGCCCCCAAAACCGCCCGAGTCTCGGCCCCCAACTATACCCCTCCCCGACCCCGAAACCCGCAGACGGTTCGGAGCCAGGAACAGGGAGGGAAAGGGGTAACAGCACCTAACCAAAACAGGGCGGCCCCGGGGCATCCAAGTAGGAAACCAACCTAGCGTGTTGCAGCAACCTAACCTAGCTTGCAACACAGATGCCGCCTGTACTCTGAACAGTAAAAACATTAGGAGAGTACTGGAGAACAAGCAGAGAATATCTCTCGCAAGACTCCGGGTCAAGGTGTCAGAGACCCAACAGGCAACATGACGGAGGTAAAAGTGACGACTGTCACCCGGAGACAAGGGCACAGCAACCAACGATCCCCTACAAGACAGGTTGGAACCCGGAAGACACACTCAATGGTCCACCGAGCCCCGACAGGGGTTTCCAGGGCCGTAGGGGTAACAACTACGGGAAGCCTGGGCAAGGTGTTGCTAACCGGTTAAGAAACCCAAAAATAACAAGGGGGTAGAGGAAAACACTGAAAACCCCTGCGACATGTACAATCACGGGGGCCTAGCAGAGGGCCACCAAACACTACCAGTGGAACTATAGCAACACTAGGCAGACCCCAACCAGGCAAATGAAAATAAAAACAAAAGAAAAACCCCGCAAAAGTACACCGACTCCAGAGGCAACAGGAACTGGTCGCTGCTTAGGTGGCAGGTCGCGCAACACCTTGACGCCCTAACCAACACAATACCAGTCCCTACCCAGGGCCAAACAAGGGCCCCAAGCCCCAGCTGGCCCCAAGGGCGAGGCAAATGCCGAGCAGCAAGAACCTCTACAGGAATGGTTCCCGAATGCCCCAGGGAAGATAACTCTGTCACGCAGGGGCAATACTCACAGGGCACTTAGGGAAGGAAGCCCCTAAGCGCATGCAGCCCTGGTACTGATGAGGAACACCTGGTAACCGCACAACACAACACAACACACGGCAGTGAATGCCACACAAGGCAAACACCGCCTAGGAAACTGAGGCCAGAGAAGCGTCTATCCCGGTTGACAAACTTATGAACTGATGCTAGGCAGCCGGCGCGGTGAGGTCCGGGGCTCCCCCCCCCTCACCCTCTCGGGGTGGAGAGGGCTGCGCGGATGATCGGCGCGGCAGTAAACTGTGATGTTTGTTTGTTTCCTTGGGATTGTAGGGAGTTTCTACCTCTCTGTTCGTTTTTTTGTTTTAGTTTTTTACTATGTGGGGTTTGTTTTGTTATGCCTACCTTTCTGGGTGCCTAACCCCGGTCGATGGCAGATAAGGAAAACCCCAACCACAAAAGGGTTTTCCAGGGCCATTGCTCCCTGAAACCTCTCTGAAGGGGCCAGGTTCTGGCACTGGTCCCTGGTAGGTCTGAACTCCTTAGCTAATGTCCCGGTCTAATATAACATACATTAGCCCAATAAGCTCCAGGGAGCCGTAGGGGCTCCCCGACAGAAAAAGGTTGGTAGAACATCTGGAGAGAAGGGACGTCATACACACCACCACCAGCGTGGGTTCAGGGATGGCAAATCATGCCTCACAGGTTTAATAGAATTCTATGAACAAGCATTAAGCAAGAAAGAGAAGGGTGGGCATTGTGCATTTTCTTGGACTTGGAAAGCTTTTGATAAAGTCCTCCCATAAGAGTCTTGAATAATTTGGAGAAACAGGCTGGAGTAACTGGTAAGGTGCTCGAGTGGATAAGGGGTACCTAAACAACAACAAGTAGAGTTACTGTGAGACCTCAGAATGGCTTGATGTCACCAGCGGAATCCCACAGGGTTCTGTACTTGGACTTATCTAGTTTCTGATATACATAAATGATTTTCCAGAGTATAGACTCATTTCTCTCAATGTTTGCTGATGATGCTGAAATTATGAGAAGGATTACGACAGAGGAGGCCAGCAAGAGACTACAAGATGACCTCAACAGACTGAAGGAATGGTCCAACAAATGGCTGTTAGAGTTTGACTCTAGCAAATGTAAAGTAATGAAGATAGGCGTTAGGAGCAGGAGGCCAAACACAAGGTACAGGTTGGGAGAAGAAATCCTTCAGGAATCAGGAAGAGAGAAAGATCTGGGGGTTGATATCATGCCAGATCCATCCCCTAAAGCACACATCAAAAGGATATCAGGTGCAGCATATGCAAGGCTGGCAAGCATAAGAACTTCCTTCAGAAACTTGTGAAAGGAATCATTCAGAACCTTGTATACTTCATGTGTCCGACCAACACTGGAGTATGTGGCTCCAGCACAGAATCCATATCTAGTCAAACACAAAATGAAGTTAGAAAAGGTTCAGAGGTATGCCACCCGGCAGTCCTCGAGCTGAGGAGTATGAGCAATGAGAAAAGATTACCAAAACTGAATCTTACAACACTGGAAGACAGGAAGACATGATTACCACCTATAAAATTCTCAGAGGAATTGACATGGTAGATAAAATAAACTATTTAGCATGGGTGGTATGCAAACAAGGGGACACAGGTGCAAACTTAGTACCCAAATGAGGCACAAGGACATTAGAAAGAATTTTTTTCCTGAGTCAGAGTACTTAGTTAACAAATGGAATGCATTAGGATGATGTGATGAAGGTAGACTCCATACACAGTTTCAAAGGCAGATATGATAGAGCCCAGTAGGCTCGGGAATCTGTACACCAGCTGATTGACATTTGAGAGGCAGGACCAAAGAACTGAAGCTCAACCCCCACAAGCACAACTAGGCGAGTTCATGTTAAGCTTATTTTGATGTCTGTGGGGGTTTATTTTGTGGGCCTGACAGCTGAGTGGACAGCACTTCGGATTTGTAGTCCTGAGGTTCTGGGTTCGATCCCCGGTAGAGGCGGAAACAAATGGACAGTTTCTTTCACCCTGATGCCCCTGTTACCTAGTAGTAAATAGGTACCTGGGAGTTAGACAGCCGCTATGGGCTGCTTCCTGGGGGTGTGTAACAAAAAGGAGGCCTGGTCGAGGACCGGGCCGCGGGGACACTAAGCCCCGAAATCATCTAAAGATAACCTCAAGAAGGTCCCCACTTTTCCCCCTCCAAGGTCGAATTACTGCTCCTCCCCCAAGATGGAACCCTACAACAAGCTAAGTCCTGGGTATCTATTTACTGCTAGGTGGACAGGAGCATGAGGTGACAGGAAACATGCCCGACCATTTCTGTGCCACCTGGGATTCAAACCCGGAAGTCTCGATTGTGAGCCGAGAATGAACCCAACTGTACAACTGGGATCCTCGCATCCAATAGGCCTTAGCTACGAAAAACTACTTCAAAAAGCTTACACAAATGAATAGCACTAACGATTAAAATTTAATATTATGCTGGCAATGAAATTATTACTTACGATGTTTTACTTTCTTCCTAAAGCTGTATGGTGTTCTAACATCCTGAATGACTCCTGATAACCTTTTAATCCTGGGGGTTCTAAGGCCACCTGCAAAAGAAATGTTACAGAATAATAATTAATTACAAAAATTATACAAAGTTAACCTGAGCTGTTGAATTTGCCACTTTTAATATAAATTATTTGTGCAAATGTCAACACGTATCTTGTTAGACAACACAGGGACATATTACCCTCATTTGTATACTGCTCAGTATCAAGAGATTTGCAAATACTGAACAGTGTCTTCGAACAAAACATTTCAAATTCATGGTTTTTTCAAAGCTTACTTTATTTTTAAATAGCAAATGTAGCTATCATTAAATAAATACAAGGTAAACACAACTTAAAAACAAATTAGAGCCATTATAACGACATGAATACGGCTAGTGACTACACATGAGAAGGCAAACTACTGCAACTGTAAATCATTACCCAATATAAACAGAAAATATCAGCGTTGAATGCTTCGTGTTGCATTGAATCTGGCACCACAGACATCCACAAAACTACCAGGCTACTGGACATGTGCAGGTCAACCAAACACCAGGACCAGAGAAGAAAGGGAATCCAAGTTTGACTATAACTAAATACAGGAATGTAAAACAGCCAAGAAATTACTGTGAAAGAAAAACTGCACATCTTTATTAAATACAAAGTTAAGCAGTCCCCGTGGCGGAGTGGTAAGACACTCGCGAGAGCTTTGGCCTGGGTTCGTATCCTGGCCGGGGAGGATTTATTGTACATCAATTCATAACTGTAGCCTCTGTTTACCATACAGTAAAATGGGTACCTGGTTGTTAAACGATTTGACAAGGTTGTATTCCGAGGAACATAGGATTAACCTTAAACTGCTAAGCATAAGGGGCAGGGAAGCAAAAAATATTTGAAATATGTAAAAATTACTTAAAAATGGTAAACAAATCTCCAATTTATTGGCTTCAGCATTATGAAACTTTCATTACAATATTTTCAGAAATTGATTTTAGACAAATTTTTAAAAAAGAAAAAATATTTCTTCTCATTTTGTTGATAAGGAGAACAGGTTCTATTTACTGGAACTGAAGGATAATAGGAGATACAAGTACCTGTCCGACACTCAAAGAAGAATAGTAGTAAAAAGTGTCCACAAAGTGGATATGCAGCTGGTGTCTTTATGGCATTGCTAAGTAATACATAACACAAATAATGAGTATGTTATTATGCTCTATTTTGTTATATATCATATACACTGTAAATACATTACTCAATGTTGATATCTGTTACTTTCATCAATGTCCGAAAAATATTTTTTGGGGGAAAATTGTATTTTTTGTTTTTAAGTTTTTTAGTTTTTGTTTTCTTCTTTGTTTATTATCTGATTTTGTTGTAACCTTCACAACCTCGAGAGTGGATACCAGTCCCTAACTATGTGAAGATAGAATGAAATTGGTCAACAAATAAATCAGGCACAACTCGCATAACTTGGGACTTCAAATTTTTTTGGGCTGAATTTTTCATAGATTTCAAACTATTTTCATTGTCTCTAAGTTGTTTAGGTGATTAGGGACCAGATTAGGGCTTTTTGACTTAAATAAAGTATACCCTAAATATATCCCCTAAATCATTATAATTATCATCATTATCCCTATATTTTGTTTTTTGGGGGGTTATTTTTTCTTGACTTAACACATTGACCTACAACTTTCACATATTTGAGTACGAATGCCAAACAATGTTTATTAAAACATACAAGTAAATTAATGAATTAGAACTACCTTATTCAATGTCGATAACTTCAACTTCAATTATATCTATAACTAGATTTTCAACTCCGAGACATAAAAAAATCCGGTTTCAAACAGATTCTCATAATTTTTACATATAGTGTGCACAGCTGTGTTCTACAATCTCTATAAAATGGATTTTTCCATTAACCCTAAACTTTTGGAGTTATACATTTTTTTGTCTAAATTTGCCGCATACAGTACAACCTTGATTCAACGTACCCCGATTCAACGAATCTCCGGCTAGTTCGCACGCTTTTCAGGCCGGATTTACTCACCCGGTTTGACGAACAATGGTTCGCCGAAGCAGGGGAAGTTCGGATTTGCTTACGACGTCAAGACAGAGTTCACAGACTGGTGGAAAACTTTCACATTCTATCACAGATTACAATTATTAATTCCTTCATATGACAAGTTCGATCACACAAGTGGACCACACAAGTGGACCACAAATGGTCCACAAGCTTACGATGTTGGGACAGAGTTCACAGAGTGGTGGAAAACTGTTTCATTCTATCACAGATTACAATTAATAATTCCTTCATAAAACAAGTTGGATCACACAAGTGGACCACACAAGTTGACCACAAGTGGTCCACAAGCTTACGATGTTGGGACAGAGTTCACAGAGTGGTGGAAAACCGTTTCATTCTATCACAGATTACAATTAATAATTCCTTCATAAAACAAGTTGGATCACACAAGTGGACCACACAACAAGTGAATCATATGAACCAAACACCAGCCAGAATAGTCCACAAGAAGTGACGCATATTAACCAAACACCAGCCAGAGTCGTCCACACAAGTGAACGACTGAGTTTCAATGATTTTCGTTCACCGATGTGTGGCACACGTATCTTTGTAAATTAATTTAAAGGCTGAAGCATGAATAGCTAGCCAATATGTTGAAATCTTCTTATATACATTTTCTGTGATGAAGCAAGACGAGTGAGGGTGGACAGATAAGGGAATACTGTACAGTAAACCTCACTCTACAGTGAGGTTTCACTCACTTTCGTCTGTGTTGTCATAGTTCAGTGACCCATGGCTTTGAACGTTTCACATTATAAATCATTTCTAAAACTGGTGTTTTAATAACTCTTTATTATCCTAATTAAACTAAACTAAAAAAAAAACAAAAATATACTGTAATAAGATAGATATCTCCTATTTGAGAAATTATTCACGTTATTGGCAGCACAACTCCAGCACAAGTGGACAGGTCTAATCCCTGTCCATACAACACCATGCATGTTGTGTTCGATTTCGTCGTCACAGTTCAGCGATCTACGGCTTCGAAATAATAAAATTAATAAATCAGTTTCAAAGTAAGTATTTTTTATAGCTCTTATTATCGTAATAATGTTGCTAAACTAAATATATAACCCAAAAATATATAATTTGATGTAAATTGAATATATGAGAGAAATATATGTTACTGGAAATCGAACACAACACCAGGCAGTGTTTTGTTCGATTTCGTCGCCATAGTTTAGTGACCTACGGCTTCGAAATAATAAAATTAATAAATCAGTTCCAAAATAAGTATTTTTATAGCTCTTATTATCGTAATAATGTTGCTAAACTAAATATATAACCCAAAAATATATAATTTGATGTAAATAGAATATTTAAGAGAAATTTATGTTACTGGATCAGGCTTAAACACCAGCCTACTGAAGGGTGTACGTATAGACTTAGTCTGCGTTCGTACAGTATGCACCCAGTGCCCTTAGCTTTGTCTGCGATTGACGTACAGTATTTATCCGCCGGTGGAAGAATAATTGTGGAATTGACCATTTTTTTACTACAGCAAGAACTAATAGCAGAAAATCAACCAGCATGAGAACAGCCGTACCCAACACGAGAACAGCAGTACCCAACACGAGAACAGCCGTACTCAGCACGAGAACAGCCGTACCCAGCACGAGAACAGCCGTACCCAGCACGAGAACAGCCGTACCCAGCACGAGAACAGCCGTACCCAGCACGAGAACAGCCGTACCCAGCACGAGAACAGCCGTACCCAGCACGAGAACAGCCGTACCCAGCACGAGAACAGCCGTACCCAGCACGAGAACAGCTGTACCCAGCACGAGAACAGCTGTACCCAGCACGAGAACAGCTGTACCCAGCACGAGAACAGCCGTACCCAGCACGAGAACAGCCGTACCCAGCATGAGAACAGCCGTACCCAGCAAGAGAACAGCCGTACCCAGCAAGAGAACAGCCGAACCCAGCTCGAGAACAGCCGAACCCAGCTCGAGAACAGCCGAACCCAGCACGAGAACAGCCGTACCCAGCACGAGAACAGCCGTACCCAGCACGAGAACAGCCGTATCCAGCACGAGCACAGTTGTACCCAGCACTGGTACAACAGTCGTACCCAGCACGAGCACAGCTGTACCCAGCACTGGTACAACAGTCGTACCCAGCACAAGCACAGTTGTACCCAGCACTGGTACAACAGCAGCCAGCACCAGCTCAGAAGCAGCTGAACCCACAGCAGCAGCGAGCACCAGCAAAGCTGATGCAAACATCTAAAAACATCGTGTGCAGCATGAACAGTTAGAACAATTGTTAAATTTAAGTGTGTACACAGTGTTAAAATTAAAGTTGCAGTAATTTTAGTGTACAATAGTTTTCATAAACTGTATTGTAGTACTCAACATACAGCAGAACTACTTTTAATCAACACAGTGCTAACGGCATAATGCACTGCAGTACGTATTTAATGTAGAGCATTCACAACTTCACGAAACTTCAAGATGGACATAACTTCAACAATAAGGTAAATTTATGAATTACAGTATTTTTAAGTAGAGAAGTAATATATAGGTAGAGTATGTAATATGATAATGCATTTTTATTGTGTACAAGAAAAATAAAGACACTGACACAAACACCTCCTGAAGGTCACCTCTTGCAACGAATCCAACGCTCCAACGAACTGGGGCTGGTCCCATATAGTACGTTGAATCGAGGTTGTACTGTATTTCAAATACCACATTGAAGAATTTTTTTTACAGTAAACTTTACTGAAAACCTATATTTTAATTTGATGAAAATGAAGAGCATATGCTATTATGAGAGCACAATAACACAAAATGAACACTTGGTGATATTTTATATTTTTAATCTGATCTGAAAATCTAAAGTTCTCAATATTCAATTTTAAAATTATTTTTTATTTTCTCGTTTTTCAAGTTGCATTGGGTGATCATTTAGACAAAGTTGGAGCATTTGCTAGTAGATTATGTACAAAAACTTTGAAAGGATTTGA